GTTCCTCGGGGAGAATTCAGGAATTACCGCGATTTCTGCGGATGCTGACGCCCGAAGCAATTCCTCCACGCTCTCTCGCTCGTCTCTGTCCGACGCGTCTTCATTGTACGGCGATAATGAATGAACGGAATTGCGATTCACCGTCGAAAGTCATTCGCTCCCGTATCTCGCTCAGCACCGTCACCTGGGTGACAATTTGAATTAATGTGACTCTGCTCCCTCAGTAACATGTCCAGAATCTTCAAAATTATTTTCCAATATCCCAAAGTCGCGCTCTTAAGGTTGGATCCAATGTAGCGTTAGTAAGAAAGTCGAATTGTCGCGCATGCGCAGTGGAATCTATCCTATGCATGGATCAGAACTAGTCATGTTACTGCAGATTGTACAAGTCATATAGTCATATAGTATTATATAATCATATAATATTTAGAGTACATTTTGGGAACACTTTTCTCCGTCTATTCGACTATTTTTTACAAGTTTTTTAAAGTAATTTTCGCGTTTCCAAAGGTGTATTTTCGAAAATGGCGTCAATGTGCGTATCTCGCTCAGTACCGTTTCTTGGATGACAATTTTTAATGTGACTCTGCTCCCTCAGTAACATACGACAGTATTACATGCTGATAGTATTACATACTATGAGAGTAACTAATTTTAAAGATTAAAAAATTATTTAAAAATGGGTAGCCGCCGGAACTCTTCTTAAATTTGATCGTAGGGATTAGAACTCTATTAGAACTAATGAGGACTGTCAATAAAACCAGATGTAGTCTGCATGATAGTTTCTCTCGGAAATTTTCTGTTGTTTTGAAGTTTATGAAAAAAGCATAATTTTTTATTTACTGTTTTTCGGTATTAAAAATGCGGAACTCTTTTTGTTTTCTATCTAGAATTCTAGAACTATGAAAAGTGTTAATAGAACTGTCATTGTTTTTTTTTAAGATTTGTAAAACATCGTGCCAGTTTTACAGACGCGGGAAAGTTGCCCATTTTTTGTTCTATTTTCGTTTAGTAAATTAATTTCAGATTTCGTTTGTCTTTTTATTTGCTCAATAATTGCAGGAAAATCGTCACATCTCGATTGGGCTTTCAAATAGTTTTAGTTGCTAGACGAAAGTTAATATAACTGTCCAATAACTGGAAACTGCGTTAAATATCTAGCGGTGTCCCTCATCGTTGATTAATATCATCGTTATTATACTTATTTATTATTCATAACACGTATGAAAATCGTTTTCCTCCCGGCGAAGTACGAAGACAAGTTACAGCGACTCGCAAATTGCGAGTGTTAGTTTAACAGTCGCTCATGGTCGTTACTTTGAAGATTACGCGGAACTAATTTTGCGCCAACCGCGAGAGATCGCGCAACGTTACTACCCAACCGCATGTTACCTCGCAAATCGCGGGGGGAATATTTACGGAAACCTCTCGTAGCCTGAGTTTACGTAATCGAAGGTAGACAAAACATCCGCACGCTGTTGATTCAATTCGACCGCGATCGACCCGAGTCCGGTGGAGCAGTTCAAGCCGGAATCGCGCGAGTCGATGTAAAATCGTTGCCGCAAGAATAACGAGTCGATGCATCCGATCAGGTGATATCGCCGGCACGCCGGTGCTACGCGGAAAACGCGGGCCCTGACGCGACAGAGGAAACACAATTATCGGCCAATCAACGTGCTTACCCGCCAGCAACCACTTGGGCTCTCCTTTCCTCTCCTCTCCTCGTGGAAATGGTCGCCCGAAAATCACTGGTAATCGACTATCCGACGGAGATCCTTCGATTCTCCAGTATCCGTTTTTTTTTTTCCATTGCGATAAATCCCCATCGGAAGTCGTATAGCCGATGGCTGATTCGATTGCGAGCGCGCAGCAATGACCAGTAATTAGCGTCTCACGAACGAAGGAGCTTCGACTGATCGATTTAATTACACCTTTAATTGCACCCGGCAGGCTGACCGGAGCGATTCATGGGCGACAGATTCTACCGATTGCCTTCACTCAAAACAATGTTTTGCTGCTCCAAGCAAATTCTAAATGTCACAGTTAAAATATATCGCCGTTTTTTTGTATTTGCTAGAAAATTGTCTGTGGTACACCTAGAATTTTTACTGCAGCAGCATTCTAGCAAATTTAAGTAGGCACAGCGTCGACATTGCTCCGATATTAATTTGCTCCGATACTATTTTCACAGTATGAAAGGGTTATACATTCATTTATCTCTGGTCGCTAGTCTTTTATTTATTACAGTCAATTTTAATAAATACGATTGGCTTTAATCTAAAGAGATTTTCTTGTGCTAAATTTCACGAATAGTTCAAATAGAGATTCTGTCTCTGTCATCTATTTTAATTAAATACAAAACATACATACGATATATCGTGATGTTTACTAGTCCATGCATTTCTCCATTTTTTTAGTTAACTTTTTATATCTAGAAAACTTTTCTATGACTGCAAGACTATTTTCTTAAATGTTGGTTTCGCGTCTGATTGTCGATTTCCTCGATCTGAGATTGCGTGTTATTATTAATATTAGATTTGTTAATCGTGCAACGCGCAAATTAATATCGGAGCAATGTCGACGCTGTGCCCGTTTGGAAATCCATCTGACGTGAGCAGAAACGCGGTGGACGATCGAGCAATTTCGATTCGCTCGACTTGGAGCCATTTTCCGCCGGAAACCCTAAACGATCCGTTAAGAAATGTGATATTTCTCCAAGAGTATATTTTACCTCGAACAGACACTCGGATTGCATTTCGGCCTTGAATCGATCCTCCTAATGTATTCGCGGAACACATTTTTTTCGAATAATTACCGTATACTACGCGGTCGACTTTGCCGTGTGTAACGCGAATAAAGAAACTCGTCAGAGTGGATGTTTAATTCAGCAGTCCGATATAAAAGTGAGATTTTCCTGGGAAATAAGATATATCAGGTTTTACAGTCTCGGTTCTCGCGCACAAGTAGTACTTTATATACAATGGCCTAATAATTAGTTCCATCGAGGCATTTTCTCCGTTATATTTTTTTCATTTATTATTGCATACAAGCGAGTGTCACCAGGTTTAATTTTTTTAACTTTTTAATGTGTTGATAACACTCTATAAAAGCAAACAAAAATTTATACAATGCGAGTGCATCGCTGCACTTCAGCTGTGTATTTTACTTCTCTCTTGAAACGAAATTTTATATGAAATATTGAATAATGATTTCAAATGAATGAGCTCTCGCATTAAATAGCAAATGAAATAACAAGTTTTCCGTTTATACTATTTATTAATTATTTTTTATTGATATTGGAAATTTCTGCACAATTTGGAAATTTCCACGAACAAAGGAACTTTCTATTGGTACTCACAGTTGCATATTATTTACGATTTTTCACTGAGAGTATAGAATTAATTACAAACTTGTGTTCGTATCTCGTATTGATTATATATTTGATTATCGTTATTTCGTTCAATATTGCAGATAACGAAAAGACACATAATGTGCGACACCATTAAAGTAATTGAAAATAAAGAGAGAGAAAAAAGTATCATTCTACTGTTAAAAAATTACTTAGCTTACTTTTCATCTTTCTGTAACAGCTATTTTTTCAACAGAAAATATTTTTTTATAATAGTTTTAAAATATACTCATCACACAAATTTGAGAAAAACTCATTATGATGTACTCAAAAGAATCTATTCTCTTTACAAGGAAAAGGCTTTATCAAGAAAAAATTGGTTTGACTCCATGTAGCAAGCTAAATTTTTGTTTTAATTTCACATTCTTGATTGAAACGTTAAATTTGTTGGGATTCAGAATATCTCTTGAAGAAATTCAATATTTATAATGAGAGTTTGTGATAAATTTGCGGGGATATATAAGCTTCTGAAATACTTGAAACTTGTAACATTTGAGTGCAAAATGTATTTTTCTATGTATCCACGACTACCCACGATTTGCCTCACGTCATCGCCACATCATTCATAGTTAATAATACACTACCGTCCAGGAATTTGGAAGCAATCATTTTGTGTGAAACAAAAGATCGTTTGTAAATATTATGAAAGCAACCGAGTATAATGAATGTTTATTGACATTGACGACTACTTTAGGCCAGAACAGCAACTCTTTATACCTATGTCTAATAAATTCTTGCTATTATCTACTTACAGTTGAACATTTACTTTGTTTTGGTCACGTTCGAATCATAGAAATGATGTTTACCCTCAATTCCGATATCTAACCATTGTATTCTAATTAAATAGGATCTTAATAGTTGCATTCTAGCATTTATAGGCGCATTTATAGCAAGTTACGATTTGTGAACTCAGTGCGTGTTAAAGTTATCAGTCGGTTGATTTAACTGAATTTTTTAATTTAACATAATGTAATTATAGACATAGAAAGTTTGTGTTCTAACCTAAAGTAGATAGTAGTCGTCAATGTCAATAAACATTCATTATAACCGGTTGCTTTCATAATACAAACGATCTTTTATTTTACACAAAAATATGACTGCTTCCAAACTTCTGGACGGTAGTGTATATCTTAAACACTCGACGTGAATGATGAGAAATGTACGTAGTTACACGTTACTCGGTATATTCGGCACTCACCGCCTCGGTACGTAATTGTCCGTTACGGGTAGATACGCGACGCGCGCGAGTACCACAACATCAACAAAAAGCGCTCAGTCGATTCCCCTTACCAAGTGCCCCCCCCCCCCC